ACACAGATCCTGGGAGCAGCGAATGGCTGCACATGCCTCGCCTGGTTTTCATTTAAGCAGTTTAAAGCAAGCACTGTGAATGTAGCTGCAAATGACTGTACATAGCCCATGAAGGAGTCTGAGTTTTATAGCAGCAAGCTTCTAACTCCAAAATATACTGCAGAGAGAATATACTGCAGTAGAAAAAGGATAGGCAAAAAAACCCTATGGAATAGGTAGATTCTATTGCCAAATTTTATGGGTCAGATTCTGGTGCCTGTAGTCATGACAAGTAGTTTCTCATTACACATCTGGACAGATTGAGTCAGAATTTAGACCCATAGTTTTGTCTCCTTCTTTAGGTGAGTCCTTTTCTCCCATGAGTTTTGATATCAGAAAAGTACTGTGGTAACACTACAGTAAAAACTGACGGTAACATAAAAAAGTAAAATAGTACTGTCCTTCACATTATGTATATGCTACATACACACTCAGATAATGCCCCTTGAATGGTGTACCAGTGTTAGATAAAATTTAGCATTCAAGTTTTCCTATATATTTTCTTTAGCTGTCCTCCTCAGCCTTAGAATTAAAGCTCTTTGAGAAACCCAGGACTTTGGTTCTTACCACTCTACAGTCTAGTTCAGTGGTTTCCAACCTTTTTAGACTTGAGGCACGCCTGGATAGATGGGAGACATCCCCTTGGAAACTTCTAGCTCTTAGTTTTCACTCTTTTTTTGCCAGCAGAAAAATAATAAAGCATTTTTTTCCTATGGCAAAGTACTCAGAAAGACCACAACTATGGACTTTTATTTGAAATCTCTGGCTGTGTCCCCACAAGTGTGCACATGCAGTTTGCAGTGCCTCAGAGTAGTTTGAGGTGCTGCAAATTGCATGCAACATATGTGCACCCATTCTCTGTGCTGTTAATTAGCAATGTGGCAGGTTTTTTTCTGGAAGATGCTGGGAGATCCTAGTGTCAAAAAAAATGCCATTAAAAAAGTGGTGCAGCACATGTGGCAGCAGCATGCACTGCCTGAAAGGGAGCCTGGTCAGCCAAAGCCATGTTCTGGCTGCTGGTCATGTTCCGAGCAACCTCAGTGCCACTCCTGCCCTGGGAGACCCCCAAACCCCAGGTAAGCCTCTCCTACCCCACCTGGGTCACTTTGTTGCATGTCAGAGAGAAATGCATGCCATATGAGGAAATGCACATCCCTGCATGTGCACACTTGTCAAGATGCAGCCTCTGGGTTTATCTTGTGCATCATGGTGGCAAACCTAACAGTATTAACAATGTGTGGCACTCCAAGGCACCCTTGAAAGGATCTCAAGGCATGCCAGGGGCACCCTGGTTGAGAATCACTGGTGTAGTCTAGTGGATGGCAACATGTAAGATAAAATGTTTTAATTCTTAGCACTATAAAGTAGCCCATTGTTTAGAGTCCTTCACTGTTTAAACAGTATAAATAATTCATAAAAAGAAGATTCTCATTTCTCTTTATTTAATCTCATAATGCAGAATTAACTGTTTATATGGATTACGTCCATGTTTTATTTGGAAAAGCAAACCTAAATAACCTCTCTCCATATATGACTGCAATAGTCTGCTATCAAGATTACTTCTTTAATGTTCTAGAAGTATTTGTCTACTCTTACAAGATATATTGATCTTCCTGAAGCCAATCTCTTCCTATAAGAATCCTTCAAGTGTGGTTTGTGCCTAATCCACTGTAATAGGCATGTGGAAACTTAATCTTTAAAGTATCATTATTAATTATGTTAATACTTTAGAAACATTATTAGAATTACTAATAATTACACAAAGAAGACAGAAGGGGGACAGTTCCCAGCCAGCCCCAGGCTGCTCAAGGAAATCCTGGCAGAGACTGGAGCTGGCTTGGCCCTACCCCAGAAGTGGAACAATTCCTTGCCAGCCCCAAACTGCTTGGGGATATCCTTGTGTGGCCTAGAGGTGGCTGGGAGAAAAGCTCTTGTCCAGCTCCTGGCTGAACGGTGAAGCATGGAGCTTCTGAGTCCCACTGCTGCTCAGCTCCTGGCTCTGCACAGGAGCCAGGATCTGAGCAGCACCAGGACAGGTGGGGGTGCAGGGCAGAAAGCTACCCCATCTGGGTGCTGCTCAGCTCCCAACTTCTTGGGGGATCCCAGTCAGTGTCCACACATGCACTACTGCTCAGTGGGAGTGTATACATGTGATGCTACATCACCAAGCTACAGTGGCATAGCATCCATGGGCAAAACTCATGACACTGCAGCTACATTGCTGGAATGATGCGCTCTCCCATTATAGTGCATTGCTACAGCAGTGTAGTACCTAAAAATAACCCTGCACAGCGTGCACGGCACAGAACAAGTTGTTACTGTGCCATCTTTTAATACTTCCAAAAGGAATTACTAAAAGATGGCACAGTAACAATGGCACCATAGCAGCATGTGTAGATGCACCCAGTATATACTGCCAAGTTAGTTTACTACCTGTAAGTACAGGTAGTAGCTAACTGTGCAATAGACTAATTAACTGCCCAATAAATGGTGTGCACATGTAGATACTGACACTTTACTGTGCAATAGAGTAATCTATTGCCTAGTAAAGTGTTTTGTGTAGACATACCCTCTGCTGGTGAGTCCATGGAATGGAAGCAATATACTGTTACAAATATTTTAATAGGATTTTTTTATAATACCCTAAAAACTGACAAATCAGGATAAAAAAGTAGACCTCTTGTAATAACAGCATGGTTCTATTCTTATCAAGATTTAGAAATGATTCAGTTATCTTATGTTTCCCTATTTAGAGGGCTATAGTTCTTATAAAGAATAAGCCACTTAGTGGAACTGTAGTAGTCTGAATCTCAGCCCAACATTTTATCATTTAGAAGCATTTAGTAAGGTCTGGTTTAACCATTTCTGTAAAAGAAGGCATGGGGGGCGGGGGGTTTAATGAGTTAAAAGTACTTAAAATATTTGGAGGACTTCGATAACATGGATAATTTAATATAAGCCTGAAAAATGGAAGGAAAAGAAATCCTGGAAATACTTATACGAGTTACTTTGCTTAAATCGCACAAGAACAGAAGAATGTAAACTGAAGAAAAAGAAAGTTTTTTAAACATTTTAGTCCATTCCCACTTACTAGTCAGGGGGCCCGTCTACACGAGAGGCTGACTATGCAGTAGCTTGATACCACTGCACAGTATAGACTTGTGGCAAAAACCATGCTGAAACACTACTGAACCACTGAAAAGTTGTTCGCTGGTGCTACTGCATAGTAACTCTGGTTACTGTGCATTTATTTAGTACTTGCTTATATAAGTACTAAACAAATGCCCAATAACCACTACACAGTAGCATGTAGATATGCCCAGGATGGTGTGTATGGTACACACACTATAATTTTTCTAATACTTTGTCATGACCACTTTCCAGTTTCCCCAAAAATGCACCTTGTTACTTGCCAGTCATTGTCTTCTGGGAGAAAGTTTTTCATGATATTTACTCTCTGTTCTCCTTTTTAAAAAAATATTATTCCATCACTTGCACTTATTCCTGACTGGAAGAGCAAGGTATCTCGCTAGTAAAAAAATAGCAACTGATGGCATTATCCTTTTATTCAGAGTGTTATATTTAGAGATATTTCATCATAAGCATTTTGGGGTATTTTCTTAATTGATTTTTTCTGAGTTAAATATACTAAGAAAGCAGCAAGCAATAATCTAATAATGGGTTAGCAATCTATTCCCTTTCTTCAGATATGTTAGTAACATATTTAAGTTACACATTTGTTTTTAATTACTCTGTGGATTTTGTTTTGACTTACTCTAATTTTACCTGTTGTTGCAGATAATGTTAAGAGTCTTCTCCATTGATTATTGGAAACTGCTGTATTCAGAGAAAATCTCTTCCAATTTAGAGTTCCAGACACTTTGACTTCCAGCTGTAACAATTTCATAACCTCCCCAACACCTTCATAAATGCATTGAAATGGTCACATGAACATGTGGGGAGTGGAACTTGCACCATCTTGTGTCTCTCGTATTATGGCACTTTAGGAGGAGAAAGCCAGAACTAAAAGAAAGGTGAAAGTATTGCAAAAAATGAATCTTACTGTGAAACTTCGTAGAAGTTTCAGAACACTGATCATTCTCTTAGCCACCTTCTGTTTAGTAAGCATAGTCATTTCTGCCTATTACTTATATACAGGCTACAAACAGGAAATGGCCATTGTTGAAACCACTGGAGAAGCAGAATGTGAGGACCTTAAACTTTTACCATACAGGTCCATGGAACTGAAAACTGCCAAACCAATTGATCCATCTAAGACCGATCCCACTGTCCTCCTGTTCGTTGAAAGCCAGTACTCCCAGCTTGGGCAAGATATTATAGCCATCCTTGAGTCTAGTAGATTCCAGTACCAAATGGTGATTGCACCTGCAAAAGGTGATATTCCTCCTCTTACAGACAATGGCAAAGGGAAATATACACTTGTTATATATGAAAATATTTTAAAATATGTGTCTATGGACTCATGGAATAGAGAGCTTCTGGAAAAATACTGTGTGGAATACAGTGTTAGCATAATTGGTTTTCATAAAGCCAATGAGAACAGCTCCCCAAGAACTAAACTAAAAGGATTTCCTTTACACCTCTACAATAATGTACCCCTCAAAGACTGTTTTGTAAACCCACAGTCTCCTCTATTGCACATTACCAAAGCACCCAGGGTTGAGATGGGCCCATTGCCTGGGGAAGACTGGACTGTTTTCCAATTTAATCATTCCACCTACCAACCCGTGCTTTTAACAGAATTACAGACTTCCAGGCCTCTCCCTGCATCATTGCCTAACACTGCACTGTATGCTACAGTAATTCAAGATTTGGGGCTTCATGATGGGATTCAGAGAGTCCTTTTTGGAAATAACTTGACCTTTTGGCTGCACAAGCTGATCTTTATAGATGCCATTTCTTTCCTATCTGGGAAGAAGCTAACATTGTCTTTGGATAGATACATTCTTGTCGACATAGATGACATCTTTGTTGGAAAGGAAGGAACAAGAATGAATATCAATGATGTCAAGGTAAGGCAAAAACTGGGACTACCTTTTCAAGTGGATGTATTTTTGATTGAGACATTATGAGATAGATAAGCTCAGAAAATGGTACTAAGTTAAAAAGAAAAACAACAGGTTTGGAAACCATGGTCTGAATCTTGAATTTTCTATTCCTGAAAGTGACTGTTAACTATGGTTGTTATTCAGACATACACATTAACATGTATGCACACACACAGACACACACACACACCTCTCACACTCATAAGTATAATGGACTGGCTAATTTATGCGCTACTGGCTACATTATGTGCATTGCCCTCTATTAATGTCAGTCTGCTCAAGGGTTTGTTTTTATACCACCTTAGATGCTGGGTAATGAATGCCGATGCTAAAATTAACAGCTCTCTTTTAACTTGTGTGTTAGTATCTATGGTTTTCTTACCCTGCTGAGAACTAGAAAGTCTTATACTAGAACTATAAACACATACACACACACACAAGTACCATCAACATGTTACACTACCTAAGGCATGATTAACCAGTCTAATGCATGATCCACATAATCATTCCTCCTGCCATGCACTTAGCATGGCAGGAGGTGCAATTCTGTGGATTATGCATTAGGTCTCATTGCACCTTTACCTGCATGTGTAGAGGTGCCCATATATATACATACACACACACACACACACACGCATGCATGCACACATACACCTATGAATATATGCATCTATATAAACATACACATATATATGCATGCATATGAATATTCCTAGAATTTATAAGAGCAATTCTAGTTATAATCCTAGTTATAAGAAGTGATCTTATCCCCCCTCATTTTATTTTGAAAAGTCAAATAAGTCTAAATGAGCTAGTATCCTTATATAATATAAGATCCTAATTCCCATAAACATAGATATAACCCTTCTCTATACCTGTTACATTTAGATTTCCATTGTTAAAAACATATATAGATAATTATTTGAATAAAGACACATTCACTATACATGCATTTTATTCTGAACTGTCCAAAAGATATTCGTTCTTATTTGTTCTTCAAAGTTTCCCTTGAAGTACCACCTTATTAAGCAACAAATAGAGGTTTTTAAGCAGTTGTGAAATAAAAAAAAAAAGTACTAGATCCAAAATGGGATATTAAGTGCCTAAAACAGTTCATAGCTATGGCCAAGAACTAAATGCTGCTCTGTCTAGGTCTCAAAAGGGGCCCAATTCAGTCTGTGAATGCCTCAATACATTATTAGTGACTGTAGTGATGACCACTTTCTATTAAAATGATGGTGCTAGTGATGTTGCCCTTGACAGAATTGCTTTGAGGCTAGAATACCTTCCCAGGAAGTGGGAGACCCAGGTTCAGTGCCCTTCTCAGTCTGAGGACAGTGCCCTAACCATCAGGCCAGAGGCAAAACTGCATTTGGGACACCACTTCCCTTCTTTTGAAGTTGTGAGACAGTGCAGAATATAAAGCAAGGTGTGTAGAGAAAGCAAAGAGGTAACAAGAGGGAGTGTGAGTAATTTTAGGACGGTCATTTGGAAGATGTCTGTCATGCTTCCATTTTCTTTATGTTAAACTTAGTAATTCTCAGAAAACATGGAGAAATAGTCTTTGGAAGAAAAACTTTGAGAATTGTACATTGGAACATACACCAGTCTTTTTTTTTTTTTTTTTTTTGAAAGAGCTGGCTGTAGAAGTGAATTAACCCAAGCAGGAGAAAGGCACCCTACCTCTGGAATAGGGGTGTCTGCAAAATAAATTACTCTGATGTGGCATTTCCCCATCTTCCTGTAGAATACCATCTCTTTGTAGAGAATCTCTAATCAATTTTACTATTAGTCAGAGAAATAGCTCTTGCAGTAAAACCAAAACACTTGATTTCCCAATACAAATCTTCAAAGAGTCCTTCCAAATACCATACTTTCAAAAAAAGAAAACCCTTTTTATCCCATTTATTTCCCACTTCTAAAATGTTCTATGTTTAGTAAAAAATGTCATTCTTTTTTCATGTATTACTACATACAAATAATAATTAACTTTATCAGTTAAATTAAACCCAGTTATTAATTACTATTTTTTTAATGTTCTTTAGACTGTACTCATGTCATTCATCAGGGTGCATGCTTTCATGCCTGATTAATATTTAACCAGAAACATTTTTTGGAAATATCTGAAAAATTAAAGACATGAATCATACGGCCCGCTTCTAAGGTGTTCATATCCCACTTCAGTCATGGCCTATTCACAAGGGAGGCGTGCCAAGTATCTTTTAGTACAGTGCTGACCCTAAAGTGATGGAGAGTTGAAAATGTAGCCATAGTTTTCTAACGTGTTCCATGTATTCTCAAGAGCAGATTGAACAGACTCTTGGTTGGGAGGCTTTAGTGAGGGATGACCCTTCCTTGAACAGGGGGCTAGACTAGACAACCTCATGAGATTACTTCCAGCCCTGCTTCCCTATTATCCTAAACTTCTGCACCAACAGAGAGCCTATATTTACATCAACTCTGCATTATGACTTTTGTGTACATACATGTGCATCAAGAGTAACAAAGATCTCTATACTTCACTGTATTTTAACATAAGCAGACCCTCTGGATTGTTTCCTAGATGCTGGGATTTCCTTTGTTTTGTTTTAAAGAAACTTTAATGGCTCCTCTCCTGTATTCGAATAGATATTTTCCAGATAGACAATGTTCTTCCTGGATTTCACAGGTGCTGATTAAGAAATGATATGATAATTCATATTTAGCATTACATTTTGAATACAGAATACAGATAATGGAAGGAGTTTTCCTAATTATTTTATATCAGAAATCATTTTATATGGGTAAGCACGATCCAACCAGACTCAGTGGATTCTTCAATAAACCAGATTCAGGACCTGCATTCCTATCAAATGACTACTTCTTGTAGGTATTCCTAGTGAAAAGGAATTTGTTCTACTAATAGGTGATGGGTTTTTTCCCAGCATGTCACCACCCATCAGTATTCTGTATTTAAAACAGAGTTGTTAAATCAGTTGCCAGATAAGGATTTGTTACTCAAAGTATTTTAGAAGTACTTTACTTTCTGTGCTAATCAGTTCTTATTTATAGACTGGACATTACCAGAATATATTAGCAGTCAAAACAGCCTGGTTGCTAATGAATATAACACCAAAATCAGAGTGCACTTTGGTTAGCTTACAGTAAAAGGTAATTACAGAAAGTTATTGTGCTATCTCTCAATGCACTTGGGAAGAATGCAATTAACTGCCTGTGGGCCTAACTTTGCCTCTCAAGGTAAAGTAGCTTCTTCAGTAGGAAAATATCAGAAGAGGATAATATTCAAGTGACTGTTATTTTCCAAAAAAGTTTTGTAGTGTTGCTCTCCCCTGTTAAAAGCAACTATTGTGACCAGTTGACCAAAGGAAGCTGCATTTCAACAGAGGATGGAAATCTCCTGTAGACTTTCCTTTCCAATTTAATAGAGGTGTTGTAGGACAGGTTGCACCTGTAACTTGCATCTCTTCCAATATTTGAAGGAAATGTAGAATAGATACTGGCCATTTTTATATTCATGTATGGAACAGTTAGAGTATTTGTATCACATTCACTTAAGAAATCTATGCCATGATTTTTCAGTAAAATACTAGTCTGTTAATAGTACCTCACATTTTATCTTGTTCCTAATACTGTCCAACATAAAAGAAATACTCATTATATATATTAACATTTATAGAAAATAATAATAAAACAATTTTATAGAGTATTACCTCTTATAAACCTCTTAATGCTATATTTTTTCTGCATCATAAACTCACATCTCTAATTCCTAGATTCATAAGGTTCTGTTTTTTGTGTGTCTAATGGTGCCTATAATTAAGGTTGTACCAGGGTCTTCATTCTAAGAGCTCATTTTAAGCTGATTTAATTTTTATAGTCTTTTACGTTAGTGGCTAGAACTGGGCAGATTTTTTTCATTCTGGAAACAAATATTAATGGAAAACTTGAGTCAAAATATGTCAGCCATTAAAAAAACTAAGGAGT